ACTTCTCATCAGATGATGCAAAAACCTTTGTGCAGGCAAAAATTCAAGCCGCATAAGGATATGGCGTCCTTTAAAATAAGTGATCCGCCAGAAATACTTACTGATATTTGTTGTAAAGAGTTTTGGCCGGATCACTTAATAGTTAAAGATCATAAGCCCAAAAAGGATAATCGGACTCAGATTTTATTACCACCCTTTTCTAATGGCGCAACTGCGTCAAAAAAATAATTTCTTCCCTTGAGCTTGCCTACCAAAATGTTAGAGGTCTTAATTCTAAGTTTGCTAACCTGTATTTAGGCTCTTTAGCTTTTGATTTTTAAATTATCATCTTTGCTGAGACCTGGCTGAAGCCGGACATCTCAGACTCTTCAATTTTTACCTCCAAATACACCACTTACACTTCGAGCTTCCCGAATCGGAGGAGGAGTACTTATAGCGGTTGACTCTGCTCTTTCAGAACGCATTGATCTTTCGATTTCAGAGAGTGAGTTGGTAGCTGTAAGAGTTGTATTTGGAAGTTTCTCTATATTTATTTCATCTTCTTATATAACCCCTCTTTCTAATTTGTCCACCTATCAAACTCATCTTAATGCTATTAAATATATTAACTCCCTACTTTCTGATAGAGACCTTTTGGTAGTTCTTGGGGACTTTATCTTCCAGACGTCGAGTGGTCATCGTCATCAGACTCAAGCTTTCTGTTGCCATCTTCGTCAAACGAATTTATTGATGGTCTACATAAAATATCCTTACGGCAGGCTAATCGTGTGCGCAACTCAAGAAACAGATCTCTTGATCTTATTTTCGTGTTGAATTCGTTCAACAGTTTTGTGCACAGGATCGATCCGCTTACTTTTCCTGAAGACCCTTTTCATCCAACTTTGGAAATAGTCATTGATTTACCAGCCCGAGTCCCTATCAAGGAATCTGAATTAGGTGAACGTACGCGGTGTTTCCGAAAGGCTGATTTTCGTAAGCTAAATGATCTTATTCTGCAAGTCGACTGGTCCCAACTGTACAATTGTGCAGACATTGATGTTGCCATTCAACTTTTTTATGATACCTTGTACTCGATTTTCTACATCTGCGTTTCTCTTGATCACCCAGGGAGGCCGAATTAGCCTCCCTGGTTCTCAAATGAACATATGAGGTTAAACAAGTGAGAGGTTCTAGTCGGGAGCTCCCGACTAGGGGATACCCTGAAACCTCTTATTCCAACACCAAATAAATTAATAAAAAAAATTTCCCTTGGCAGGGCTCGAATTTGCAACTGGCCGCATTACTTACTGTCGACTCTACTCAACAGCCACACTAGCAAATAAAAAAATTATAATACTTTCCCCGATAGGGCTCGAACTCGCGACACTTGCTATGCCTCTACTCAGCAGCCACACCAACAATTAAGTACTTATGATAAAAAAGGAACTAAAATAACATTTCAAAAAAAAGATGCAATTACCATGCTGTTAGAATGCGAAGCAGACGCGCATGAATGTGTGTGTTGTACATGTATACAGAAATTCTTAAAGCTGCTACCCCATTCTATTGCGCAGTTGCATATAACTTTGGTTTTTCTTAACCGATCTTTATGAAATTTTCTACAGTATATCTTATCGTACCATAGAATATTTGTGTATTCTGAAAAAGTCAATTGCAATTTAATTGTCGTTTCAATTGGTTGGCAATAAAAGTTGTGTTATTAGCTTGATTTATAGCTCTGGGGTGGTAGCGGGGAGGTGGCGATAGGTATGAAATGAAATATACTTGAAATATCTATAATATTCTAGAAGCAACATATCATGTTTGGTGGCTCTAGCTCTTATTATTTACCCAATTTGCTAAAAAAAACAGGATGTCGATATCGATTGCTTGGAAACGGAATAAGTTATCGATTATCGGAAACAAACTCGATCTGCGTGGGAACTAGGAGCATCTACATCTAAAATTTCAAGTCTTTAGCTCTTATAGGTTCTGAGATCCTTCAGCTCATACATACGGACCGACGGACGGACGGTCAGACAGACGGGCATGGCTAGATCGACTCGGCTATTGATGCTGATCAAGAATATATACACTTTATGGGGTCGGAGATGCTTCCTTCTGCCTGTCACATACATTTGGATTTTGCACAAATACAATATACCCTTATACCCATTTTTAATGGGTTCAGGGTATAAAAAGTGAAGTGGAGGTGTTATAAAAACTTTAAAAAGTTTGCAATTGGCCGATCGAATTTTTCCACTCAAAATTCCATCTGTTATAAGGATTACCTTCGCCATTGTCGCTTTCAATTTTCACATAATCCCCAGCAATTATTTAACTTTGTCAATTCAAAACGAAAAACATCTATTTTGCCTTCTTCGTTTAAGTTTGTAGATGAGAGCGCGAACACTGATCCTGGCATAGCCGATCTGTTCGCAAACTTTTTCAAACTACCTACTCCTCCTCTAGGTATAATAAAAATGAGCCTTATCCTTATCAGCTACAGAGGTCAAACTGCATCTTAAATCCTATTATTACAGATAGTTCGCTTTATAGCGATCTAAACACTATCAAGCCGGTTTATTCACCGGGCCCTGATGATGTTTCTGCTATCGTGCTTAGATACTGCGCTGCAGCATTATGTCAACCTGTTTTAAAACTTCTTGAATTGTCCGAAAAAACTTCATCTTTTCCAACCATTTGGAAGTAATTATACATTATCCCTCTCATAAGAAAGGGAATAAGTTTGATGTTGAAAATTATAAAGGTATTGCTAAATTATCCGCTTTAACTAAAGTTTTTGAGAGAATTATAACTTCTCAACTACAACATTTATGTAGTTCTATTATTTGACCTTCCTGGCCTGTTTTCGTGAAGCGTTGATCTACAACCATTAACCTTCTTGAGTTTACTTTGTTTATAATTGATGAGTTTAAGAGAAGAATGCAGACTGACGTCATCTATACTGACTCTGTCAACGATTCCTTGATGCTTCATAATTTATGCCTTCTTGGCTTCCCAGTCAATCTTTTGAACTGAATTTCAGAGTACTTGCGTGATAGAACCCAAAAGGTTTTTTTTTCAGAAATTCGTTTTCTAAACGTATTCTGGTTTCTCCCGGTGTTCCTCAAGGTAGTCATCTTGGCACACAACTCCTTACTCTTTTCATTAAAAACCTTTCCTCGCATATAAAAATATGGCATCATGCTTCAAGCATCATACAACCTGACATTGATGCATTTCAGGCTAGGTGTCTAACCAACCTTTTAAACTTAAACTGCTCTAAATGTAAGGTAATGACTTTCTATAGAAGCCTCAATTGGTTTCTTACATCCTTGACAACGTACCGCTCGAGCGTGTTAACAGTATTTTTAATGAAGTTGATGATCGAGGCATCATCCTTGATCATAAACTTAAATACGACTCTCATGTTAAGACTGGCCAATAAGGCCAGAATGGTTATGGGTTTCATCAAGCGAGGGTGAAGGAATTCGACTATCCGCACACGACAAAAGCATTTTATATATGTCTGGTACGACCTATTCTTTTGTATGCCTCATGTATCTGGTCACCACAATATGCCATCCACCAGGACACAATTGAATCCATTCAGAAACAATTCTTGTTGTTTGTTCATGCCTTAAATTGGGATCCTCTTGTGCGTTTTCCGTCATACTCCTGCAGACCTGTAATGATTAACCTTCCTTTTTTGATTAATCGTAGAACTATGTTGGGTTTAATATTTATTCATAAATTAATTACTGGTGAAATTGACTTTTCTGTGTTGACTAGCCAATTAAATTTCTCTATCCGTACCAGAGCAACACGTAATTTTGTACTCCCATCGCTTCAATTTTGCTCAATTAATTATCCTTTGTGTGAACCGTTTATGGTTCTCTGTGATGTCTACAACAAGCAATAAAGAGTATCCCGCTCGGAGTCTTCTCTTCCTAGTATTAAGTGTTCTATTTTAAACTATTAAGCAAGTAGATTTTCGTATTAAAAATGGGTATAGGGGTATATTGTATTTGTGCAAAATCGAAATGTATGTAACAGGCAGAAGGAATTATCTCCGACCGCATAAAGTATGTATTTACTTGATCACCATCAATAGCCGATCTAGCCATGTCCGTCTGCCTGTCCGCCCTTCCGTCCGTCCGTCCGTCCGTCCGTCCGTCCGTATGTATGAACGCAAGGATCTCAAAACCTATAAGAGCTAGAGAAATTTTAGAAAATGCCTCATTTTTGACAAATGTATGAAATGCGCCATGTGCATTTCCCCATAAGAAGGCACATTTTTCAGATATGTGTAAATTCGCACCGTAAATTTCATGTTTTTTGCGATGATTCTTAATTTATTTTTATTTTCTTTAATTTACATAAGCGCCGCGAAATTTTCCTCCAAGAGTCAAAAAATGCGCTCTCGAAGTAAGGGCTCCAATTTTGGTACACTTTTCGACATTCGCCATGTTTAAATTAAAAAAAAAACAGTGGGGTTATTCTAATTTTAAATTTCTTATTTAAAGCTGACGCTTGCCTTCGTTGATGTATCAGCTGTTTATGGTTATGATACTTTCACATTTTTCACAACATCGAGAGAAATATCGATTAATCATCGCAAAAAACCCCATATGTTAGGGGCTGATATACACATTTTTCAAATATGGGACATTTTTGTAAGATGTGTGGAATGTGTTTTCTTATGGGGAAATGCACAGGCCGCATTTCACACATATTGCAAAAATGTCACATTTTCAGAAATGTGTAAGATATGTGTTCTGTGGACAGAGGCTATAAGACACTAAGTCAATTCAGAGCAAAAATCTGGTGATTCTCTGATCGTCTTTTCCTTCTTCAGAATATAAAAAATTTACATATGTATATATTATTATTATAAGCAACTCGCGTAATAATTAATCATGAAAATAGTATTGTACGACAGCTCCAATACTTTTCAGCGGAAACGCGGAATTATCATACGCCTGTGGCATTAATCGATTAATCGATATTACGTTGTTGTCTGACCACACAAAATGAAATAAATCTATCGTTAAAGGATTGGAAATAAAAATACGTGAATCTGAAGAATGATAAGTACCAACGTTGCCATATACCTAACCCACAGGAAAGCATAAGAACGGAAGCTGCAGCAGTGGTATCCGCATTATTTAATTAAGTGATCGAATCAGGAGGAACAGAATCACTCATTTTAAAGGTGGTGGCAGTTCATCCAAAACATACGCGTGTGACTTCCATTGGCTGGAAAAGTAGCACCACGCAAGCCTTGCAGAAAGTGTTTATAACCAACGCATAACCAATATCTAAAAATAAAATTTTCAAAGGTCATCGAATTCAACAGCAATACAGTGGTGAAAGGTTAGTTAAGGCAGCAAACATTCAAATTCGCACCATTGATATGCGTATGTATGTATGTAGGAGTAGGTGTGTACATACCAATGCCAATATCTATACTTATAGATGTAACTTTAATTATAAATGCACATCACAATACATCTATGTTATCTTTGTTTTTTTTTAATACAAATACATATTTCCTTAGTAAATACACACAACGTCGTAGAACAATCTATATAACAATTGGATAGGATCTGAGTTAGTGTGCTTTAGTGTATCAATGTCTTCGTACAGCGACTAATATATTTTTTGGTAACAAAAAAAAACTTACTCGCGAAAGGGAAGTTTTATTTTTACCCTTATTAACTGCAACAAAAATGCACGATATTGGCTCTAATGAAGTCTGTGCCCAGAAATGCAGAAAGGGTAACGGTATTAACTATACATATAGTCCATAATGTCAGAAAAATATTTAAGCATTGAGGAACGTCAGCTTATTTAAAAATGTATATCTCAGCAGTTTAAATGCCCAATACAGAATTACCTTGCTCAAACAAAACTACAGGACGCAACGCAAATTTTAACATGGACAAGAAAAGAAACAAAACGGTGCAGAAATGTTTCATGATTGGTGTTGGTAAGGGTCCCTTAGCGCTGGCATGTGTGTATGAAGACTCTTTTGACCGGTCTCGCAAATACTTTTACACAAGTTTGTATGTGTACACAAACATCTATGCGCTTGTTGACTGTTTAATTGCCTGCCTATCTGATGCAAGTTTTAAAGTTTTTGGGACATATGAATTTCCACCTTAACATACACAAAACAAAAAAACCAAGGAAGAGGTTCCAGTCGGGAGCTCCCGGCTAGGGATACCCTGAATACTTTTTGCAATACCATACGCAGCTTTAGTAGCAAAAAAGATAAATTAAATATGAAAGTTATCTTTGTCAGGGCTCGAACGCCCAACTGACCGCGTTATTTGCTGCCGCCTTACCTCAACAAAAAATTGACAATTGCATTAAAATTGAGAATTATATTGATGGGCAGCATAAATTGGTGTCTTTACGTTATTTCTAGCTATGAGGTAGGAGGTGCTGATAGCTATAATATTAAAGATAATTGATATATATATACTATTCCTAAATCGACTTGTCCAGTTTGGTGGCTATTTCAAGTCTCTAGCTCTATAAGTTCTGAGATTCTTGCGTTCATACATACGGGCGGGCGGACGAACAGAATAACGGACGTGGCTATATCGAATCGGTTATTAATGCTGATCAAGAATATATATACCATATATGATTGGAGATGCTTCCTTTATACTCTTATCACCCATTTTCAGTGGATTCAGGTTATTAAAATGTGACAGGCAGAAGGAAGCATTTTCAAGCCCATTAAGTGTATATATATGTATTTAACTAGCATCAATAGTCGAGTCTACCTAGTCATGACCGTCTATCGCAGAACCTATAGAGCTAAAGATTTAAAATTATATCTCCTAGTGGCCGCGCAGACTGAGTTTGAATTTGATAATTATTAACATTCTCGTTTAAAAACAATCGGTATAAATTAATATTGAAATTCTGTTTTTAAGCAAATCTCTTATATTTTAAGAGCTAGAGTCAATAAATTTGATTTGAAGTATAAGCAGATCATTTTATAGTTATCGCCGCTACCCGCCCCCTCCCCATTACTTAGGCACATTAAGTAAATCAAATGGTACTGCATATACGAATATTTTCTTTCTTGAACAGTCTTAAAATATTGTTCTGCAAAAATTTGCTTGTTCCACGGAATATTAATAGTTATATTCGCAAAAAAGCCAGCAAAAAGTACGGTATATAATTGTTGCGTCTTTCCAATTTGAGTTTTCGATTTACCGGTTTAGGTGATATCCAAAAAATGAAATTTAATATGCGAGAAGCTACATGTAAAATTTTGTGATTCTAACTCTTAAAGTCGGAATTTCGTTATAGATTTGTATCGATTGGAAGCAAACGCTGAAAGTTTTTGATGATTTGGGATAAATTATTACCAAAGACAATATAAACACTAAGATGAGTAACGACCATAGATTTGAATGCGACGCAAAATTGTAGCCTGCCTTCTCATCTGGCTTTTCCCACTTCACACGACATGCCAACATGGCTTATCGCTCTCTAAAAGCCACACGAACTTTGCGTCACTTCGTTTTCGAAGTATATTGATCGAAAAAGTTTTAGACTAATGTTCGACGCATAGTACTTTTGCTTTATTCATGAAATGCATTCGTTATTTGATCAATACATTACCCTAAATAATATTGATAAATATGTTTTAAATTTATGTTATCACAGAGGGCACCTTATTAAATAAATATAATCAGATAAAAAAACCGAGAAGAAAGGTTATCTTCGGCACGCCGAAGATTTAACACCTTTGCAGACCCAACATTTCATAATTCTTATAGTACTTATCCCATATCTAGCCTGTTATCGTAGTCCTCCAGCCGATAATTTTTATATTTTTGCATAAAATCATTATTTTTATCTTCATTTTTATCCAGTTTCAGTGGGTTCAGGTTATAAAACGCCGACAGCATAACAAAGTCGACAAATCAAAGAAAAGGCAACTGTGCAATTACAGATAATTTGTAATTACGTTAATTTATGAACGAATTGAATAAATTATAGAATTTAATGTCAAACTTTATAAACTGTGGTATCCGTCATGTCTCAAGTCAACAGTATCAGGCATCAGCTCAGTTTATCCTTCATCTATGAGTTCGGCATGAGGAATATTTGTCTTACATGCTAGGTTGCTATTTATGTGAATACTGAGCAGCTTCAACACCATGGCTACAGAGTTCTTGCTTTGTTCGCCACCGTCCGCGAATCAGACTGCAACCTGAGCTGGCAGATAACTTAATGTGGGATTGCTTAAGTTTAGGTTAACATCAGTTTATGTGCATTTTACGATCTTTGAACTAAAGGTTAAAACTATTTGATCGTTCAATAGTCTTATATAATCAATTTAATTTTAAGTCAGATTTGTTGTGAGCTATCATTGTTAATACTTTTGATTTTGTTGTCGATGCCGATGTACACTCTATTGCAATTATTGTTTTTGGTCGTTACCTTGGTCCTGCATTCGAATTTATTGCCTTTGTATTGTTTAAGAATATTTGTAGTGTATTCGTAGATTTTTTGTGATACTTTTATTTCATTTTCGTTATAGCAGTCTGAGTTCGTGATGCATGCTGATTATCCAGAAGCTATGAGTTTCTTATACCGCTTTATTTCAAGTGAATTGTCAAGTCTGGTTTATATTAAAAAAAATGGCAATTTCGCGTATTTTTTTAGTTCTGTTATAAATTTTATGTGTTTGTGAAAAGCGTTCAGTTCTCTCAGAATGTACTTCTGGTTTGTCTTGGTTATATTTATTATTTATTAGTATTGTCCAACAGTTTTTCCATTTTTATGTCTGTGATTACTGAGGAGGCCGGTGATCCCATTGGCATTCTTTTTATACCCTAAACCCATTTAAAATGGGTAAAAGGGTATAATGTTTTTTTTTGCAAATGAATGTAACAGGCAGAAGGAAGCATATCCGGTCCCATAAAGTATATATATTCTTGATCAGCATCAATACCTGAGTCGATCTAGTCGATGTCCGTCTGTCTGGCTGTATTTATGAACGTCACAACGTCACATCCGTGTGAGAACCTATGAGAACTAGAGACTTAAAATGTTGAACATAGGTCCAAGTTCCCGAGTAGAACGAGTTTGTTTTCAATATTCGATAACACGCGCCATTTTCAAGGAATCGATATAGATTGATATCAAAATCAAACTTGACATGTAGCTATTAGAATAGTATATATATGAAGTAGCTTCCATTTCATAGCTATCGCATCGTCGACGCTACCACCACATAGCTATAAATCAATTTACTTTTATTACTGATAAGGAAAATGAGTTTGTAGCGCGAGCCTAATATAATGATGGTTGAAGACGGTTCAAGGTACCGACAATATTATTTGAGTATTGTCTCCACTTACAGTTTTTCTTCGTCGCTTCGTTTTATATCATTCGCGGCAAAAATCTTAACTGAGTCGATTATAGGCACCATCGGAATGTCCCCAGTTGAGAGATGATATTGCTCGGGCTGATCCGGGAAAAGAGTTTCCACTGTTTATGGTGCTCCGGGCAGGACGGCACAGCACTTCGAGTTTGCCCATTACTTTGTTGGCTTGATAACGGTCGACTTCACCAATTTAATTAGCGTATTTCAAAGTGCCACCTTTTGCAAGTATTCTCGATTTTACGATTCTATAAATAGATAGTAATTTGTGCTACTTCTTTGCTATTGCTGCATTAGAGGACCTTTTTATTTCCAATTTTAATTAGTTACTGTAGTGTTTTGAGTTTTCGGCAATCGTCGTCTTTGTCAAGTATCTCAGTATCCCAAGCGATTTAGTTAAATGTCCACTAAAAAAAGATTACAATGGCCAGGTTGCCCTATGTATGTATATTTGGGATACCTATCGTTTTGATATTGAGGGGCTGGTATACGTCACGGTCGATTATGAACGCGCATACTGTTCAGCAGTTCTTATAGGGTAACAAAGGAGCTGTTTTTCTGTTGCAGCTGCTATAACACTTCCCGCTCTTGATCTCTGTACGTTGTGTCTTTGTCGTTACAAAAGACGAAAGGTTTTCATGTCAACAAATTTATCATCATAGAAATTCAATATAAGCCAAGTCACGATTATTTCTATAAAGACCACTTGGTTCGTATTCCAGAGATGTTCTGATAATATATCTTGAGATTTCGAGTATTCTCGTTGCACACACAATCGAATAATGTGTTGATGGTAAATAACTTTTTTCCAAAGCATCAATAAAAATGACTGACTGAGATGCTGAATTAGTGAGGATTAAAAAGGGCAAAGTCTTATTAAATAGTCGAAAAGTCTCTTGCCGACCGTCAATACGGAATTAGGGGCGTGATACCGAGAACCTAATATAAATCTATAGAATCCTAACCAACTATCTTAAAAAACCAGCTGCAGTTTTTATTTATTCTTGCCGTCTTTTTGTTTTTGTTTTTTTTTTTTTAACAGGCTCTTACATCTTTACAACGTTCACGACGTTACAAAATGCCATTTCCGAAAACTGAATCATAACTTAGATGCGACTTTAAAGATTCAGCAGCAAGTAATTCATTGTTGCAGCAATAACCCTAGACACGCTCGTAATTGAAAAAGACGAAAAAATAAGGTACGGGGTACCTTAAGCAAATCGATTTCTAGTAAGATCATCTTCATATTCGTATATATATATATAAAATAAAATATACTTGAAATCAACATTATCTTGGGTCAGAACTTTTTGTGGATTTACTTCGCGCCCTTCTGAATACACCGAAGCTGTTGCATTTAAAAAGAGGCTGTTCTAATATTCTCCTTAATTATTATTGCATCCTCATTAGCATCAACTTAAGCTCTTTTAATCTGCAATGCGTTCATACAAGCATACAAGTCACGTGTGTATGATTTTCTTTGTTGAAAAAATAAACAAACGGACATTGCTATATAAACTTGACTGTTGATGCTGATTTATCCTCCTATGGCATGACATTTCTCAATTACACATTTCGTGCCCATATTATAAAATTTATGCTAGGAAAAAAGAATAATATCACGACTGCTTTTAAATTAATGCAGCACCGAAATGTGAAAATTTTTCCAAGCACGAACTGATGAACTAAATGATTATTAATTTGGAAGTAACAGATTAGAAGGAATAGTTAAAGTTATGAGTCACAAACCTCATAATCAGCGAAAAGGTACGCACATATTCGGCACACCGAAGTCTGATTATCCCTGTCTGAAGATTTAGCAAATATAAAATAATAGTTAAGCTCGTAAATTCTAAGTTTGGTGAAAATATCTTAGAAAGCGGAATATTTTGACATGCAAAAACTTATTTCTAAAGCGATTCTTAATATAGAGCTATATACTATTGTAGTCCGATCTTGAAAAGATTTTGCTTATATATTAGCAGCATAGTGAAACTAGTAAATCCAAAGTTTAGTCAAGCTATCTTGATAAACATAAAGTGGTTAATACAAGAACCTTCTTTTTGCAGGTCCTCTGATGGTAAGGTTTTGAATATATATACGGAGAAAAGTAAAACTAATGAATGCCAAGTTTGTCAAGTTATCTTAACAAACAAAAAAGTATTTCTAAAGGAACTTTCTTTTCGACCAATCTTTACTGTGAGAGCTAAGGTATATACGTGGTCTGAACCGATATTTTCAATATTTCGAGACGATAGTTATAAAACTGAGAGACCAATTGGTATACGGTATACGTTTATTGGTATATGGATGTACTAATTAATCGTGCTACCTATTATCATTATATCATATACTAACATACAACATTTGTTTTTAAATTTTTTTAGTACCCGATTACCTACTCAATGGCGAATCGTCTGTCAAAGTTGATCACTTCTCTCATGACTTGTTGCAGTTGTAAGTTGGCAAAATTTCGCTTGCTATAGGTGAGTTTACATAGGTTTTCTTTATGCAAACAGATAATGGACTTATCGATTTGCTTTTCATCTAGACTTCCTGCACAACGTTGGCATATTCTATCGTGATATCAAGCGGGAGAACATTCTGTTAACGCAAACATTTCACATACAGTTGACCGATTTCGAGGCATGTACGAATATATAGGTACGATCTTATAAATTTAAACCACAGATTAATATACCATTAGCTGAAGAATGGTAACAAACAAATCCCAAATATTGAAGAGTTTAAATAACTATATTGAACGAAAACAAGCAATGCTACATTTAGTCTAAATGTAAGTTTAACAAAATTGTTAGTTTAACAGAGGGAATGGAAACGTTGTTAAATCTATATCTTTACGATGTCTATTAGAGCTTAGGTTTAGAGTATATTTATAATCATATATGTAATAGCGAGTGCAGGTGCAAAAGAGATATAACGGAAGTCGTCTTCGTCGTGGCATAGCACAAATCACCAAACAGTAAACATTTTTGAGCAATCTCAGCCCCAACGAGAAACTAGCTTGTACTCGATTATTTAATCAAAGCGTCGACTTCTAGAATGAACGCACGCTCACAGATATTTGATCTTACTATGGAAGGTCGCCAGGTGGATGAGGCAGTGGCCGGCATATTTCACACAGTTCATTTTCACCGCTGTTTGGGCAAATATATGTATACGGGAGATGCACAATACTCGATTGGCACCGTGTGGTATTCAGATGTTGATTGCGACTTTATTGATTTCACATATGTTTGCTGCACATCTGATAGCTTAACGCGCAGGGTGAAGTGTGCCATCAATTTGTTTAGCGAAAAGTTGCGTGCAAATGAAAGCTGCGGATCCGGAAAAATCAGAAAAAGAAAAATCGTTGGCTGTTTACACAGGAGTCTATACCATAGCACGTGTGGTCAGTACACCTGGCTTTAATTAAGCACTAAAGCGAGGATGAGCGCCAGCTCTGTCGCGAAAATGTGTCGGACCTGTTTACCGAAAAAGTTATATACATGACAGAGTTAATAGACCGACACGATTATGTGTCTAAGCTCTCCGAGATTAAACTGATTTTTGATACTTCTTTTCAAGTTGAGTAATCAAATTTTTTCAAATTCGATTACTTCGATTACAAGTTGAGTAATCGAATTTGTTCAAATTTTTTCAAATTCGATTACTCAACTTCCGGGTCAACGGCACCTTCAATGGGAAATATCATGAAAAAAAATCATCAAAGAAACGCTAGCAATATGGTTGGCTGATTGTGTTAGCAAAGAAACGTACGTCTTGGTCTGTGCGTTCAACGTTTTAAGCTTAACTGCGTTAGCTTAACCGACAATAATTTATGTGGCAGTTATTATAAAACTTACTAACTAACCTAATCTTGAACTTGTTAGTATTTTGTGAATGGCTTTTTCAGGAAGAGCACCATGAATCAAAAGGCATTTTTTTTTTCTTAAAAATATTCTGGTTAACAGACATGTAATATGTCTAAAATGTAATATAATCTCTCACTAAACAACAATTAAATATTCACAGTCATTTGCGAGCTAATATTCCTTACAGTGTTATTAATTTTGTGCAATGTACGTGCATCTGTCTGTAGAACGAATTTTTTTCGATACTATAAGAGCTAGGGATATGAAACCGCGAATACTTGTGTTAACTGACATCAAATATTGTTTTTAATTTATATGGCTACGCCAATAAGGGGCGTAGGAACCAGCAGAAATGTGTATAAATTGTGTTGATTCCACGCGGTTCTGGTGTTGGCCGAGCAGCGCAGCATATATTGAAGGGATTCAACGACCGATTTCTCATTAGTGTAGGTTTTGGCTAACGAGCGCAACAAGAAGATAAGAGGCTAGGTTTTAAATATAAAAGTGTTCTTAAGCATAGGCACTAGCTGAGAGCTATATGGTATAGTGTACCGATTTTAATAAGATTAAGGCCTATATATGAGGAGTATAGTAAAACTAATAAAAGCCGAGTAATAGCAAAGACAATGTAAACACTAAGATGAGTAACGCCATACAATAAAATGCTTCTATTCAGCTTGATGTTTCGAAAACGAAATCAGTATCATTGCGCTCTCATAGTGGAAAATGCGAAAAAGTCAAAAATATATTGTACTCTGAGCTTCGGCTCTATGAGGGGCGTGCAAACACTTATTTTTGTATGTGTGTTAATATACATATATACACAACACCATATTTCAGTGTGTCGTTATTCGCTGTTCTGGCTTTCGCTGGCAAAGAAATACATTGTTAGTTTTCTAGCTCTGATATAGACATGCATGTGTAGATATACACACATAGTTCACAGATCTAAACGTATGTGTCTCGAGCAAACACTGCCCAAAAACAAAAGTAAAATCAATCTACGCTCATTATACCCTTGCAGAGGGTATTATAATTTTGTCGTGATTTGTGTAGCGAAGAAGGATACATCTCCGAACCCATAAAGTATATATATTCTTGATCAGCATCAATAGCCGAGTCAATATAATTATGCCCGTCTGTCTGGCCGTATTTATGAACGTACGGATGTGAGAACCTATGAGAACTAGAGACTTAAAATGTTAAACATAGGTCCTGGTGCCCGCGCAGAACGAGTTTGTTTTTAATATTCGCTAACCCGCGCCATTTTCAAGGAATCGATATAGATTGATGTCGAAATCCTGATTTTTGAGTAAATCTCCTATGTTATAAGAGCTAGAGTCACCTAACTTGACATGTAGCTTTTAGAATAGTATATATATGAAGTAGCTTCCATTTCATAGTTATCGCATCTGCGCCGCTATTACCGCATAGCTTTAAATCAGTTTACTTTTATTACTGATAAGGAAAATGAGTTTGTAGCGCGAGCCTAATATAATGATGGTTGAAGACGGTTCAAGGTACCGACAATATTATTTGAGTGGGTATTGTCTCCACTTGCAGGTTTTCTTCGTTGCTTCTTGTTGTTATATCATTCGCGGCAAAAATCTTTACTGAGTCGATTAGAGGCACCATCGGAATGTCCGCAGTTAAGAGATGATATTGCTCGAGCTGATCCGGGAAAAGAGTTTTCACTATTTATGGTGCTCCGGGCAGGACGGTACAGCACTTAGAGTTTTCCCATTGACACTTTGTTGGCTTGATAACGGTCGACTTCACCAATTTAATTAGCGTATTTCAAAGTGCCACCGAGTATTCTCGATTTTACGATTTTACAAGTAGATAGTAATTTGTGCTACTTCTTTGCTATTGCTGCATTAGAGGACGTTTTTACTTCCAATTAATTAGTTAGCGTAGTGTTTTGAACTTTCGGCTATCGTCGTCCTTGTCAAGCGTCTTAGTATCCCTAGCGATGCCCAGGTTGCCCTATGTGTGTATATTTGGGATGCCTATCACGTAGCGCGCTTTGCTATTGAGGGGCTGGCAAACGTCATGGTCGATTACTGTTCAGCAGTTGTTATAGGGTATCTTCCTCTTGCGTATCCCGGAGCTGTTTTTCTGTTGCATATTATTAAGGCCAAATGGCCTGGCTGCTATAAAACTTCCCGCCCTCGACCTCTGTACGTTGCGTCTTTGTCGTTACAAAAGACGAAAGGTTTTCATGTCAACAAATTTTTCATCATAGAAATTCAATTTAAGCCAAGTCACGATTAGTTCTATGATATTAAAACCACTTGGTTCGTATTCTGTTCTGATAATATATCTTGAGATTTCGAGTATTCTCGTTGCACACACAATCGAATAATGTGTTGATGGTAAATAACTTTTTTCCAAAGCATCAATAGGAGTGACTGACTGAAATGCTGAATTAGTGAGGATTAAAAAGGGCTAAGTCTTATCAAATAGTAGAAGTCTCTTGCCGACCGTCAATACGGAATTAGGGGCGTGATACCGAGAACCTAATATAAATCTATAGAATCCTAACCAACTATCTTAAAAAACTAGCTGCAGTTTTTATTTATTCTTGCCGTCTTTTTGTTTTTTTTTTTTTTAACAGGCTCTTACATCTTTACAACGTTCACGACGTTACAAAATGCCATGTTAGATGCGACTTTAATGATTCATCAGCAAGTAATTCATTGTTGCAGCAATAACCCTAGACACGCTCGTAATTGAAAAAGAAGAAAAAATAAGGTACGGAGTTCACATTCATTATTCTCTATAATCTATCATCCCTTAATAGTTATGCAAATCGATTTCTAGTAAGATCATCTTCATATTCGTATATATATATATAAAATAAAATATACTTGAAATCAACATTATCTTGGGTCAGAACTTTTTGTGGATTTACTTCGCGCCCTTCTGAATACACCGAAGCTGTTGCATTTAAAAAGAGGCTGTTCTAATATTCTCCTAAATTATTATTGCATCCTCATTAGCATCAACTTAAGCTCTTTTAATCTGCAATGCGTTCATACAAGCATACAAGTCACGTGTGTATGATTTTCTTTGTTGAAAAAATAAACAAACGGACATTGCTCTATAAACTTGACTGTTGATGCTGATTTATCCTTCTATGGCATGACATTTCTCAATTACACATTTCGTGCCCATATTATAAAATTTATGCTAGGAAAAAAGAATAATATCACGTCTGCTTTTAAATTAATGCAGCACCGAAATGTGAAAATTTTTCCAAACACGAACTGATGAACTCAATGATTATTAATTTGGAAGTAACTTCGGCACACCGAAGTCTTAATATCCCTGTCTGAAGATTTACCAGATATAAAATTATAGTTAAGCTCGTAAATTCTGAGTTTGGTGAAAATATCTTAGAAAGCGGAATATTTGGACATGCAAAAACTAATTTCTAAAGCGATTCTTAATATAAAGCTATATACTATTGTAGTCCGATCTTGAAAAGATTTTGCTTATATATTAGCAGCATAGTGAAACTAGTAAATCCAAAGTTTAGTCAAGCTATCTTGATAAACAAAAAGTGGTTTATACAAGAACCTCCTCTTCGCGGGTCCTCTGATGGTAAGGCTTTGCATATATATACGAAGAAAAGTAAAACTAATGAATGCCAAGTTTGTCAAGTTATCTTAACAAACAAAAAAGTATTTCTAAAGGAACTTTATTTTCGACCAATCTTTACTATGAGAGCTAAGGTATATACGTGGTCTGAACCGATATTTTCAATATTTCGAGACGATAGTTATAAAACTGAGAGACCAATTGGTATACGGTATACGTTTATTGGTATATGGATGTACTAATTAATCGTGCTACCTATTATCATTATATCATATACTAACATACAACATTTGTTTTTAAATTTTTTTTAGTACCCGATTACCTACTAAATGGCGAATCGTCTGTCAAAGTTGATCACTTCTCTCATGACTTGTTGCAGTTGTAAGTTGGCAAAATTTCGCTTGCTATAGGTGAGTTTACATAGGTTTTCTTTATGCAAACAGATAATGGACTTATCGATTTGCTTTTCATCTAGACTTCCTGCACAACGTTGGTATATTCTATCGAGATGTCAAGCGGGAGAACATTCTGTTAACGCAAACATTTCACATACAGTTGACCAATTTTGAGGCATGTACGAATATATAGGTACGATCTTATAAATTTAAACCACAGATTGATATACCATTAGCTGAAGAATGGTAACAAACAAATCCCAAATATTGAAGAGTTTAAATAACTATATTGAACGAAAACAAGCAATGCTACATTTAGTCTAAATGTAAGTTTAACAAAATTGTTAGTTTAACAGAGGGAATGGAAACGTTGTTAAATCTATATCTTTACGATGTCTATTAGAGCTTAGGTTTAGAGTATATTTATAATCATATATGTAATAGCGAGTGCAGGTGCAAAAGAGATATAACGAAACTCGGCTTCGTCGTGGCATAGCACAAATCACCAAACAGTAAACATTTTTGAGCAAGCTCAGCCCCAACGAAAAACTAGCTTGTACTCGATTATTTAATCAAAGCGTCGACTTCTAGAATGAACGCACGCTCACAGATATTTGATCTTACTATGGAAGGTCGCCAGGTGGATGAGGCAGTGGCCGGCATATTTCACACAGTTCTTTTTCACCGCTGTTTGGGCAAATATATGTATACGGGAGATGCTCAATACTCGATTGGCACCGTGGGGTATTCAGATGTTGATTGCGACTTTATTGATTTCACATATGTTTGCTGCACATCAGATAGCCTAACGCGCAGGGTGAAGCGTGCCATCAATTTGTTTAGCGAAAAGTTGCGTTCAAATGAAAGCTGCGGATCCGGACAAATCAGCTTGGAATTTTTTCAGAAAAAGAAAAATCGTTGGCTGTTTACACAGGAGTCTATACCATGGGAAGTGTGGACAGTACACCTGGATTTAATTAAGCACGAAAACGAGGATGAGCGCCAGCTCTGCCGCGAAAATGTGTCGGACCTGCTTACCGAAAAGGTTATATACATTACAGAATTAATGAACCGACACGATTATGTGCCTAAGACTCCAAGTCAAAGCGAGCTTGATCTGATCTTCGACACTTCGTTTCCCGATGTACAGCCATATTTGTTCAAATTCGATTATTCAACTTCCGGATCAACGGCACCTTCAATGGGAAATGCCATGAAAAAAATCATCAAAGAAACGCTAGCAATGTGATTGGCTGATTATGTTAGCAAAGAATCGTATGTCTTGGTCTGTGCGTTCAACGTTTTAAGCTTAACTGCGTTAGCTTAACCGACAATAATTTATGTGGCAATAATTATATAACCTGCTAACTAACCTAATCCTGATCTTGTTAGTATTTTGTGTATAGCTTTTTCAGGAAAAGCACTATGAATCAAAAGGCTTTTTTTTCTTCTTAAAATCTTTTTGTAAACGGACATGTAATATGTCTAAAATGTAATATAATCTCTCACTAAAAAACCATTAAATGTTTACAGTCATTTACGAGCTAATATTCCCCACAGTGCTTTTTAAGCTATATGGATTGGTGTAGCCAATCGTTGTAACTAGCAAAAATGTGTATAAATTGTGTTGATGCCACAGCGCAACAGATAATGAAGGGATCTAACAACCGATTTCTCCTTAGTGTAGGTTGGCTAACGGGCGCAACAATCAGAAGATAAGGGACTCGGTTTTAGATATTTATTGGGCACCACCGGCCAATATTAATACCACTTAAGAACTAAATACAAAAGTGTTTTTAAGAAAAGGCACTAGCTGAAAGTTGCCGGAAGCACTGTTATCGTCGGTAGTGATACCGCTGGGCTTGCGTCTCGTGCAAGGCATCAGGTTACCATAAGTGCGCTGCTGTCGCTGACCCCCGCAATGCTGACTGGATGGGGTCAGTAGTTAACTGCTTCCCCATTGGAGACATACCCGTTCTCGGGTATGCCAATCTATGCCACCAGTTCGCTGATCCTGCGCCGACAATATAACCGATTATTAGCGCTAGGCAAAGTACCCATATCGTTACGGACGTCATTGATGCTTAGGCTTGCGCCCCTTGTAAGCATCAGATTCTCGATGTTGAGATTTTGTAAGAATGGTAGACTCAGACGTTCGTCGTAGCCGGTTATATTTAATAGGGGGGACGTCACTATTTCCAGGACTCGACTTTGTATGTTGTCCCTGATTACGTACTTGGTACCATTTATGAGTCGAAGGTAATAGAAGTCGCTGGCCTGTAGTTTGTAACCTCGAATACCTCAGATTCGCACTCAGCCACGATGTTGTTAGGTAGCTACAGCATTCTGCTGTAGTGCGTTAGTGGAAAGATGTTGATTCTCTTGCAAGAAAACCTGATGTTACGGTAATTGATTATAAAGTGAACCACATGGTCGGATTGCAAAACCTTAATAGTAGCCACTTCTATAATGCTAGTGACGGAGGCTTCTATGGACTGATCAAGCAAGACGGATTTTAAATCTTCCTGATTTAGGTAGAGTGATAGTGACCAATAATTAATTACAGGTTCTCGGCAATCAACAATTTATATCTTGTTAATAGAGATGTAGATAGATAGAGATATACAGAGATAGAGAGAAAAAAAACATATATTTGGGTGCTCACTCAACGAGTGCCCGAAGTGTAAGCGCAGCGTTGGAAAACGGGCCTACGTTACCTTGGTACGTATGTAAGTGAAATGTCTGCCGCTCCAACGATGTCGACGTTCGTCACTCGGTCCAGCGGTTGTGACGTTACTTCCGGTATACGGATACGTATTCTTATGATGATTATGTTGGAGACTGGAGACCCACTTCGCCCCCTTTTCTGATTACTTGCCTTGTGGCTCGGTAATGTAATCGCAATATACAACAACTGTTACTTTCGGCAGCGTGCCGGAGTAATGTGAGTTTATTCTTAAACGTCGAATACACAACCAAAAACTGCAATATACAATTGACTTTACCACTGCTTGACAGGTTACCACTGCTGACCATTGCGGTCAGGCCGCTCAACTCATGCGTCAGCGGAATATGTTTGGAGCAATTCGGTAAAAATAAGTGTTGTGCGAGTTTCTTATACAAAGTTATTCATGTGCTATCCTTATGTGTTAACTACTCCCCCTCAAGTTTATGACTGCTCCCGGTTAATTTATAGCTGTTGATGACCCGTTGTACTTCCCGCGAAGCTTGTCTTCTCTTTACAATTTGCCATGTGGTGGCAAGGCCGCTTAGGATGAACTTAGAGCAACACCGCCAATAATCCACCTATTAAATGTAGGTGGACGCCAACTCGTTTTTGACGTCTTGGATGACACGCAGGTTGTCATTGTTCAACCTATGGAGTTGACGTATGCTCAACACTGGGTCGTGACTTATGATGTTAAGTAGCGGTGACCCCGCTATGCCTGACGACTTATTTAATATCTTACGCTGGTTCACATATTTTATGCCATTGATGATTGCGGAGAAAGGAAAGGTGACGAAGTGTGTTCCGTTTGTAGTGATATTTGGGCCATCGTCTGTACTGATCCTTGCTGTGCTCTCGTTGATAATTATGATTCCGTCATCTACGTGCACAATAGGTTTAAGCTGGCTTGGCTGCGTGCGGCAGGAGGCCGTACCACTAGCTAGTAGTGCTCGTGCACAGGTGTTTTCGGTGTGTTTCTTTAAAATTGTCTCCAAATCCAATGGTGTGATTTATTATGTCAGATTTAGCATCAGTAATTGTGAGTATCAAGTTTGAAACTTGGTTTATTAACATTCTATTTCTAGCTTATAATGCTTCATATACAAGAGTGAAAAAAATAATAGCACCACTACAACACATTTTGTTTTTGATGAAAAAAAATACGATTACTATCAAAAAAATATTGAAATACGCGGACGATAACGATCTATGACGCGACAGCTATTACTAAGTTTTAAGTTTGCCAGGGATCATGCAAATTGGACATCCCAACAATGGAGCAATATTCTATGGTCAGATGAGTCTAAGGTGGCTATGATTGGTGGAAAGAGTTCTCGATCATACGTTAGACGTCCAAGGAACACAGAATACAACCCCCTGTACATCACAAAACCCATTAAGCATGGAGGGTGTAGTGTAATGGTATGGGCCAGCTTTTCCTACTATGAAGTAGGTCCAATACATTAAAGAAACCCATCATGGATCAGCACGTGTATGTGAATATCATGGAGAAAGTAATGCTACTCTTTGTAGAATACGAAATGCCCTCGTACTGGTCTTTCAACAGGACAATGACTCCAAACACACCAGTAAGAAAGCAAAGGAATGGTTCAGGGCAAACTATGGAAACGTTTTGGGGCGGCCTGCTGGGTCGCTTGACCTGAATTCCATCGAAAATCTGTGGTACAACCTCAAGAAGGCAGTTGCTGCTTCCAGACCAACCACTATCGGAAGAAATTAAAGAGTCCTGGTCCAAAATTACCCTAAAACGATGCCTGGACTCAGGTGATTTCATGCCAAAACGCTTATTGCTTATAAAGGACACTACAAAATATTAAATGGTGAATATAGATTCAGTAATAATAGTTCAAAATTGTTAAACAATGAATTCCTAACTCATTGGCCATATTTTATATTTTAAAATTAAAATCGATTTTTGAAAAGTGGTGCTATTATTATGTGCGCCTAATTTAATCAATTTCAGCAAAGTTTCTTAAGTAACTGAAGAATGTTAAATAATAGGATGATTTTGTTTTTATTCCCAAGTTTGTAAGTCTTCCCTTTCTAAAAATGTGCTTCAAGTTTCCTTACTGTTAAAAATGTGGGTGTGGCAACTATTTAAAAATTGCTTGTGGTAGTGGTGCTATTATTTTTTTTCTCAACTGTAAGTGCGATGTGTCAACTAACTCATTCTTTTTTGCTTTAGTTATTTTATTTATCGTGTCTGTGAGTTTATAAATTGCTTCTATATTTCTGAGTTAATCACTATTTGCCAATTGTTTCCATCAACCACCTAACTTTTTCAAAATCGGCCGCATCTGGCGTGCCAGCTATTACCTTGAGTGCTGGTGCCTAAGAAGTCTAAATCCATTCTATGCTGCACTTTTACTACGGACAAGAGACTTATAATGTGCTCTATATCCATATCTATAAATTTTCCTATATGCGAATGGGGGAATAACGTTGCTAATCAGTCATACTGTAATATATTTACTATTACAGTATTATATATAAAATGTTTTAGCACGTCTGTGCTGGTTAGGTTATTTCATGGGAATGATTTTATTCAATAATTAAGGGCTTATGATTAACCTATAGATATATATGTGTTCTTATGCTGTTATTGGTTAACAGCTACAAAGAGAGGGAGAGTGTGTAGCTTGCATATGCCTGTGTTAGTGAGCATATATATGTTGCTCAAGAGATGCGCTCTGACGGAGCGTAGAATATGCAGCGTAAACATAAACGGTCAGCTAGAAGGCTAGTGAACCGCGCTGCGTAAGACGAGCCGGAGCCAATACATAAACTGGCTCTGGGCTTGTTTAATGTATAATTGTTATTGTATGCAACAAAGTGCCGCATACTTTATATTTGTATATAGGGTGTTCCTGTAAGGCATATACAGACAACACCTCCCCTTTTAGAGGAATAACTTAACATTATAAATGCGTAGTTGTTTAATTAACTTAATTATAATAACATTTTTTGTTTTGTTGGTTTTTTTTCTTTTATTTTTGATTTTTTTTCTTTTAAAATGATTAAAAATATTTTGAATTTTAAAAATAAAAAAAATTTGTATCTTACCAATTATAGTAATTTGTTTTATTTTATTATATTTTTTTTTGTTGAATAAAAGAACATTTGGGTAAGTAATAAATGTTTTATCTAAAAATGTTATATTTATGTGGTTATGTATGTATAGAATATATATATATATATATTTTTATTTCTTATTATTTGTTTTTTTTTTCAGTGTTCGTATGGCCATACTACAAAAATGATTATGTATTAAAAATGTTTAGCCTAACCTTATGTACTTTTTGTTTTTTGTTTTTAGTATCCGTTATTACAATATTATCTCTATCCTTTATTTCTATTACTTCATAGGGGCCTAAATAAATTGGTTCTAATTTATGTCCAGTATCGTGTCGTAATAAAACCTTATCTCCTACTTTTAATTTAAAGTCGATAACCTTATTATCATAATATTCTTTATTTTTTGCCTTATGTTTTTCTAACATTATTTTAGTTCTTTAATATGCGTGTTCTAGTCTAAACTTTGTTTCCTTAGCGTAATTATCTATATTATAAATAGGATCAATTTTATCTATTTTATTAAAATATTTTGGCAAGTTTCTATGTTTGTCGAAAACTAACTCATATGGACAATAATTGTGTGCCATAGATGTGCCGTGTTGAACCAGTAAACAAAATATTGGAGCCATACATCCCAATCAGCTTATCTCATCTTTAGGTATTTGCACTGGTCATTAATAATAGAATTTTTATATTCAGTTCCCATGTCCGAAATGAACGTCTT